TTGCCTTATCAAAAAACCTCATTAAGTTAACTTTTTTTCTTGCATATTCTTCATTTAGGCTTCTTATTTGTGCAATATTTGGTTTTGGAAATTTTGAACATCTTTACCGTGATTCATCTTTGCTGCTTTCCAAAACATATTACTATCTTCTTGGATTTTTAGGCCGGAACGTCCCGAATACGAATAACATTTTTTGTATGCATCAAATAACCTTTTATATAAATCGGCGTTTGATAAGGAAGCCATGATTAAAACACAATAAAGACGTTTACTGTGCATTTGACATACATTAATAAAAGACTAACTAACTATTCACACACTTCAATAATTCAATGACTATTTAACTATAATATTAAAATTATCAACGCAATACCGAGTGTTGTTACGTAAACAAGTGAGGACTAGTCTACCGGCGGGAATTCCCGGGAGGCGCAGTGCGGGTAGCGTCGGTCCGTTGCCATGGAAATGCAACCTCGGCACTGGTGCTGTTGCCCGCTCTTTTTCAGAGTATAATTTTAACCTTGCGCATTTTTGTGATCTTAGGTAAGAACTATCAAGACTAGGGAGTCAGCCCTTTGTAAGAAAAAATTAGACATGGTCGAGCCCCTCCCTCCTAAATCGTCTTACGTAATAAATGAATGGCGCCTTACGCCTATGCTATAATTGAGGATACAACCTATCTATATGAAGATTAATACAAATTAATTCAATGGATAGGGCGCCATTGTGAATCAAACATCTTTAGTCCCATTGAAAAAGACACTCATTACCTCATTACGCACACACATTTTTAAAATCTACGTCAGTAATAGCGTGTTTGTCACGCTAGATAATTCTTAGAATACTCTTATTGCTTTTGCCTATAATGTAGCTATGTGTTGGCGTTTGTTGTCTTTGCTGTTAAAGATAAGAATGTTTTGAATTTATATTAACAGACACAACAGGTCGTGACTTAAACAATGAACAAGGACGCATATACATATGGTTTTGTAGTCAAAACTTACGCTTTTACGTCTAAACGACTTTAAAAAAAAAACGGTTTACAAATACCACATTATCAACATTTTTAACAAGTTACATTATCAGAGAGTAACTTTTTACTGCAGTAACCGACATACACACGAGCGGAGCTGCGGGCAAAAGCTAGTTGCATAAAAAATCTGTAGGTATACTGGTTTACGTGTTTGTGTTCTAGACGTATATATTTAACAGTATCAATACTGTGATCGGTTCGAGCTTCAGTCATACAAAAAATCTTTCAAAAGTTGAAAATTATGCACCACTTAAAAGTAAATCTGCGATTGAAGCAAACAAATATTTATTTAAACTTACGACACAAATATTTATTTACACTTTAACAAAATGCATTGCCAGTTTTATCAATGGTTTGCAACCCTTTGGGTTTAATGTGAATAATTAGAAAGAGGATTATTAATTTATTTATTTATTTACTAGCTGACCCGGCAAACGTTGTTTTGCCATATACATTATTTCTAGGAAATATGTAAAAAAAATAGGGGTGGGTCACCCTTGTCATTTAAAAAAAAATTGATGTTGGCTGATTCTCAGACCTACCCGATGTGCACTTAAAATTTCATAAAAATCGGTCCAGCCGTTTCGGAGGAGTATGGTAACTAACATTGTGACACGACTATTTTATATATAAGATATAATTAAACAGAGTGTAAGTTAGTTTTATTTAATGTGGGTGAAAAAGCTTAAAAAAGTAAACACCTATATGCAAACATTGATATGTACGCAAACAAAAGTAGATCGAATATTTAAATTATTTGAATAAAACGCCCCCCCCCCCCTTCCCTCCCTCTTAGTGTTATAGTCTTTTTAAACATCCATACTTATTATTACAATTGAGAAAGTGAATTTGTTTGTTTGTTTGTTCCGTTTTCAAGCTTAAGCCACTAAGCCGATTTTAAAAATTATTTCACCAATGGAAAGCTACATTATCAGAGAGTAACATAGGCTACTAATACCGCGATAACGAACATACACGCGGGCGGAGCCCCGTCGAAAGCTAACTATTAATAAAACAAAGTAAGTGCGATATCATTGGAAATTTCAAATAAGTATAAATATCATCAACGTTGGCCCATTTAATGCTTGATGAAAAGTCCCAGCTGATTGTAATAGGGGTCTGCCATTTTGAACAATGACCCATAAATGCCAATATATGCGAATCAATTGAATAATTTTATTTATTTAATTATTTTTTAATAAAGTTATGTAATATTAACTTTTAAATAAGTAATACCGCCTTCAAGCCGCCTATATCATAATAAACTGTATTTCTTTATTCTTCCAAAACAAAAATCTTCTTAGTCTTTAAAACAAAACAAACTTTATCAAAAACTTTATAAACTTATTGTTGGCGCGGTTATGGGTGTGATGTCACAGATTAGTGATGGTTAACTCGAGTACCTAACCCGAGTGTACTCTAGTTGGACGTAACTCGAATCTACTCGAGTTGAATTTTCTCTAACTCGAGTTCGAAAAAAAATTCAAGCATATGATTTAACTATGGAAAAAATATTCTTTGTGATACTAATTATCTTATTTTCTTGAAAATATTGTGATTACTGATTATAAAAATAGTTTTATTTGATAGTAAATATTATTTTAAATACTTAAATAAATGATTGGATTTCACTCGAGTTAAATCGAGTAATATTTTTTCCGAGTTGGCTCATCACTATCACAGATTACCACAGATTTTTTTTTATAAAGCCAATGTACTACCACAGATTACTAAATAGGTTATGCGAAGTTTGTATAATGCGTTCTGAAATCAAACTCATATACTCAGACCACACTTAGGTGCGCCTACCTATATTTTACCTTAGTAACGTCATAAAATCGGAACATTTAATAATATTTATCTATACATAACTACTCCGTGGCGAGTTATTTTCAAAAATTAATTAGAATTTAATTAAGTAACCACGTTTCCGAACAAACAATGCTCTTTCAATATAGTCTATGGCTGTGAATGACATTGGCTGCGTTCAAGTTTACTAAGTTCTTGGCAGATCTTAGCATATCTTGTAGCAACAACTTAAAGTAACTGTATTTTTTTTCATCTATAATAAAACAATGCAAGACATATTTATTTAAGTGTCTAAAATTAATTTTTTGGTAGATAAAGTCAGCCCTGCTCAGAACTTAGTAAACCTGAACGCAGCCATTGACATTCGTTACGCGCGTTTTTTTAAATATGCAAAATTAAATGTATATTTTTCAATATTTCTGAGAGATTTTCTTAATATTTTTTTCCGTAAGAACCTTCTCCTAATAATAACAAATACAACAAAAAAAGAATTAGTGAAATCGGTCCAGCCATTTACGCGTGATGCCGTGACCAAGGAAAACGGGTTTCATTTTTATATATATAGATTTATTTAATACTTAGGTTCTTCACAGCTGACAGTATATATTTTACATAATAATAGTCGAACAATACGCCAATTACGAAGTACACAATTAATTGAAGGTAAATACACAGCAAGAGTAAACAATTCTGTATGAAATAACCTAAAACAGTGCATCTCAAATATAGCTACACAGATAGCAATGATGTTGTTTGTATGTGGAGTGGTGTGTGTAAGTGAATGTGGAGTAGTGTGTATAAGTCCAAGTAAGTCCTTAATAATAGTCCTATAACTTATTGTTTTGTAAATACCGACCCAAGATTCAGTTCTGGCCATAGCTTGGGTTTTGGTTAGTGAGTTTCGATTTTAATAATTATTGACTAAAACCGAAACTCAGTGATACGAAATTATTGCGGTTCGTTCGGGTGAGTACATGCGTCATGACCGATTATGTGTAGTTATTGTGATGTGTATTGAATACAATACACATACAATAGCATGTGTTTTTATTAAAAACAAAATAGTTCAGTTTCTTTTTGACAGGGGCACTGTTTGTCAGCCAATTTTGCTATTTTCCGTTTCTTGGACGAAGTTTCATTGTTCATAATATTGCTACAATTTACTGTCAAATGCAGATTCGCTGAATGACCACCACTAATACTTTGCAGTATTTCTTTATTTTCATTTTGAATTTATCTTTAAAACAGTTGTATTCTAGTAAAAAATATTATGATATTTGAGACTGATATGACATAATTAATAAGTTGTTAATTTTATTAAGACCGAATTAAAACCAAGGCAGAAGGTTCTGATCAGGCTGCAAATCCTGTCTCTGTCATATAATGTTTTGTACTCGGAGAGTCGGATATTTAATTTTGACGCCAAGATATGAAATCGAGCTGTTTTAGGTAAAACGAGGTTTCTAAATTATTTTGGACCTTAGCTAAGGTTGTCGAGCTTTAGACAATACTAGAAGATAACCTTTACAAACATCATATAATTGTGTCTCACAAGCGTTAAGGTCGACTATTGTCGATTACTTGTACCTATGTAGGCAGCAGGAAATGGTATTATCATCTAGTCGTATTGGTACCGTTATATCTCAATGAAAGTATGAGTATTGATAAAGTGTCTACACATGATGTTGGAATGAATGTATTTTAGGACTTCCTCTTGTTGAAGATATACCCGACGTCTACGAGTATTCGCTAAACTGAACATTACGAAGTGTTCAAGAAATTGTGTTCAAATAACATAGTGTTTATGACAGGGGGTAGAAGAGGAGACGACAGTTTGCTTCTTTAATATTTTAACTTTTTATATACTAACCTAAATTACAGTGATGACATCACAATATGATAGAAAATTATAGCAAAAGAGCCATTCATGAATTAAGTGATAAGATATAATATTGAGTCCCAAATCCAATCAAAATGCTGCCAAATGTTTCAGATTTTACTTATATTATGTGAAATAAGGAAAAGTTGACCTGCTAAAAATTAAAGTAGTCAAAAAAAGGAAATACATATCATGTATGAATCTACATGCATCTTATTTGATTAAAGGTAAAACGAGGCATGCTTTAATTTTTTTTTAATGTTATTCTTTCAGTCTTACTTGAATAGCCATCAGCAAAATACACCAGAGCGAAGACACATATAGCTGTCCGCCAAGCCATAGTTGACCTGAAATAAGCAAATTAAGAGTTAGATTATTATACAATGTGAAATATAGTATAATATCTACACAGTTTGAAGAGCCAAACGCGGGCAGTTTATGTTGAGATTGTTTATCTATCACCACTACCACAAGTACATTAGACTATAATGTAGTAGTATGGACTAACAAAGTTGAAGTGTAAGCAAGACGAAACATCTCGCCGACACGTGTATTTCAACGCTGCACACGTCTGTCCGACAGCTTTCCTGAAACTTTATGACACCTAGCTACATTCTCGGAGCAATTTCGTCCGAAACTGTTCCGTATAACCTCGTTACCAACTACTGTTCACGCTATGTAAGTAAACGTTTTGCGGATATGACACAAGTTGTTTCTCTTTATTGAAAACAGGACGACAACGGATCTAGTTAGTGGAAGCAACGATATTTGTGTACTTTATACGTCGACTTAGAATATGTAATTCCTTTCGTGTTTGGAAGCTCACGGTTAGAGTTGTTGCTCTGAAAATTGAATTCTTATCGCTGTCCTCAAAATATTGGTTAGCAATTGCAAAATGCTCGAAACAAAATATTATTCGGACCGCTTTTAACAACCATTAGCGACACACTTCGTTAGTGTGTAGTGTCGAAGCTCTGACAGAACAAAAAAAAATATCACCAGTTCAAGTGTTACCACGAAACGAAAGGGTAAATAAATAATTCTATTCTGTAATAAATGATTAGATGGTGATTTAATAATTACACTGATTTAACTGCATCTAAATCATTTTATCAAGAATTTGAAAGAGGAATTTCGTTAAAATGAGAAGCATTCACTTTTAGTTATTCAATCAGTTATACCTTATTCTGTAATATTCGGGACGATCAAAGATATCTTATCATATGGTATTACCACGTTTAAAAGCGGTAAACTTGAATTTTCCTTAATTATATTGGTCTACCGTAGAATTTAGATATAACTTCTAAAAAATTTCGTGCAAATACTCCAAACATGTACATATATTTGCGCAATAATAAAAATAGAAGATTACATTTCTACAAAGGTTTGAAAATCAAAATACAAATCTTGTCCAAGTTTTTTTTTTAATAAAAGAACTGGGAGCGGTCGAAATAAATCCGGCGTTTAAGTGATAGGGATGGAGGTGTGGGCTACGCCCCAATGTCGCAGGTCAATGAAGGTTGCAGGTCAGGGCTCGGCCTAGTCACGCAACCTGAAAGTTCAGTAGGTATGTCGTCGGAAAAAATTATGTGTGAACCTACACCGAATAATCAACTGGGTCTGTTTTCCCTTGAAACTAATATTTGCAAATTTTATGAGTAATGATAAACATTACATCACGTGATGTTTAATTTTTTATCTTAATCATATAAAGACAGCTTTATAAGGATTAAATTATTCCGTTTTTCGAAGTCGTCTTTCCTGTTTTGAAAGGATCGAGCAATGGCGGCAAGTCCTTAAGGGACCTTAAAGCCTACTCAAACGAGAGTAGAATGAATGTTGCTGATTAAAAAAGATTTTTAAATTAAAAGGATCCCTAGAGGGATATTACATGCCATAGAGCAGAAATTGGATAGCGATACGAGAGATATATTACCCGACATAAAGCCATGCTCGGTAACTTTCTGCCCATTTCCGGCAGCCCACTTGTGAATCGTATTTCGGAATCCTTTTTATCTTTTTGCCAGTGCGGAGCGCGGCGAAACGTGAAGTGACAGCGGTACCAAGCCACTTCACAGCTCATATATCACTTGAGACTGTAACAGCCATGTTAACGGCCCGCCTGTCACCTCCGTATTTCAGCCATCCACTACTGCTCCTCTTACTGACTACTGTCTATTTTAATGACTTTCTAATTCTTGATTCCCGTACTCACTTCACAGTATCGTAAAATATTTCAGATTTAACATACTGCAAGAGAAGCAATTTTTATCTCGAAATATGAAATGCAGATGATGAATGAAGTAATTGATAAAAGGAAGCAACCAAATCAAACTTTAAGACATAAACAAGGAAACGGGACGTTAACTATGTCAAATTTATTGACTAAATAAACTGGATGTAGTACGAGTACGTGACAGGTTGAGGACAGAAATCAATGCAAGATTTGTCGTGTTCGCATTCCAGATGCGATGCATTGCTAGCGGTTTAAACTCCACAAATTCACAGGTTGCAATGAGGACACGCCGAGTGTAAAGTTAGGGTGTCGCGTACCGGGATTTATATCGGCGGAAATCTTAGGTGCATTTCATGCCTGCGGTGAGGCGACGTTAGATAAAAATGCTCCGGAGGTAAAATCTCGCCGGCTTGGGCAGATTTTCTTTTACGGCGTACTAAGTTTAAACACGACACATCGATTTATATACGCAGTACGAGTTTAAAGCTTCGAGAACCTTTGTTGGTTTCTAAGATTAAATGTCACAATAGATAAAATCCAAGCGGCTTGGAACACTCATGTTATGAGGGAAGAGTAGGGTCGGTAAACGAATTATACGCGAACGCTCGACTCATAATAACATTTAACCCACAACTGAGAAGCAAATCCGATTTTTACTTATTGCGTAGGTTGCCTGAAAACGAGGGATTATTTGCAAATGAGATCATAGTTTATTTCCTATATTTAAACACGTTTTTTTATTCTCTAATTCTACGAAGACGAATGTAAGTCAGACTTCCAATGAATAATTATTTTGTTATTACATACATAGGTACATGAAGATAAGATATTATACCTAGATGTACGAATTGTATATACACAGTACACATGTATATATAATATTATTAATACACGATAATTAAGGATGAATATACATAAATATATACGTTGCCGAGTATATTACGGTTTACTATATACAAAATTAATTTATTGTATCAAACCACCTTTCTCAAACATTTATTTTATATATTTTTTTAACAATCTGTTATAATTTATTCAAATTATTAATCCTTCAAATTACTCAAATTATTAACAAACTTTAGCCATTTACTTGTGTAGCGGCGAATAATTCGACATGACATGTGGAATATTGATCGTGGTTAAGTTATCAGAACAGCCAGAGGGTAGCACGAAACAACCCTCATAAATCAAAACAAACCCAGAGAAATGTCCAAATAAGGGCATTTAGAAAAGTGTGAATATTGTGAAATATTAGGTTTTCTTCCAAACAATGGACTATATTATAATGTTTGGACAGCAGCCAAATATAAATATCTGTATAGAATACCTAACTGGTTTAATTCACTTGCAAAACAAACGGTTTACAATTATGGTTGTCTGGGCCATTAACTTTTAATAAGTCCTAAGATTTTGGAATAAAGACTATTAAGAAATAAAGAGATGAGAGAAATGAACTAAAAAGTGTGCTTTAAGATTATTTTCAGGTGCCATTCACTGCAACCAAAAAGGTAAATATAACCTATTTTCTTTCTTTCGTAAATACAAATTAACGAGTATATTAAGCCGTCAAGTTAAGCATAGAGCTCACACGAAAAGAGACTCGCAAGAAACTCAAAGGCACTTTTAAAATAAATATTTAAAGTACAAAATGCGTAGCGGCGCGGCGTATCGTAGCTGAGTCTATTTGAAAACTGTGAACATTTTTCAGTTGCAAGGTCGAGTTTACAATGTGTCTATAATGGTCATAAATCTAACAATATACAGTTCCGATTTATTTTTATCTGTTACATAATTTTGTGTAAGTTCGTTTTCAAAATCGTTAGACAGAGTTTAAAACTTTAGTAGGGAATAATGGGATTGTAACCATTCACACAAGAAGAAATCATCTAAAAAATTAATAATTTTTAAAATATCTTTATCTCAATCACGTATTGGTTAAACAAATGTTTCAAAAATTACTCTTTCAACATATAGTCGACAGTCTAAAAGATGGATTGAAACGAGCTAATCTCTATATGAAGTTGAAACTTAGCAAAGACGGAGTTGCGCTATGCAGAGCAATGCTATAAAGTTAAGTTATCCCGAATTTCATTTTTCAGTTCATCATTTTTCTTGCCTTAAACACAGATATTAAAACAAAACTGCATGGACAGTATGTTTGTAACGTCAAATAAACAGCTAGTTTTGCATTTAAACTATATCTAAATATCACATACCTATATACGCGAACTTTGATTAAAAACAGTACAAAGAATTCTCTTCACTTATTAACATATTATTACACTTGTGTGTGTTCGTTATCACAAGTCAATAAAGGTCGTAAATTTATCATTGAACTTACAAGAAAATAAATTTAATTGTATTTTACACATGCGTAAATGTTTTGTTGCAATTACTACCGAATTATGGACCACGTTCTCTTATTTTTTTTTCTTTATTTATTTATATATAATAACCTAAAGCACAAGTTGTACAAAGGCGGACTTAATGCCCGGGTATTCCTTGCCAGTCGACCTTCGGGTGATGTAGAAAGTGATGCGGTAGGTGTAAGAGAAAAAACAAAATTTGATGTATGTATATGAAATTTATTAATTCAATAGAGGACCCAAGTATACACATACAATACATCCACATACATAAATATTAAACTAGTACTAGCGTTGTGACCTTACTGCCATCTCAATTTGGAAAAGATCTTGTACTTCATTCTTGAACGTAAAGCGGTTAGTGGACATCCTGATTTAAACATGGAACGCATTCCAGAGAAGAATTTACTTTAAATAAAATAAAGAATTGATGAAGTTGGATTATTCCCCCGGTGTTTTACAAGAAGGGGAGAACTTGTTTATCTCACAATGGGTAGTGTTGAAGTGGTGACCAGGTTTGCTAGGGAATGGTAACCTAGTCACTGAGTGTCGTGTATAATCGGATGAATAATCCGATACGAAAAATAATGTTTACAGGATGTCTCTATTATACTTTTTTTTTTAAAGAAATCTTCATAACCACAGGAATGTGAAATTTAGTATAACTAAACCAATAATACGAATAAAGAACAATAACAAGAATTAATTAAATTCGGGAAATCTTTCTTACTATTACAAAAAAATG